GGATTTAGGAGGTGCAGATTCAGGATTTGGGAGGTGCAGATTCAGGATTTGGGAGGTGCAGATTCAGGATTTGGGAGGTGCAGATTCAGGATTTGGAGGTGCAGATTCAGGATTTAGGAGGTGCAGATTCAGGATTTGGGAGGCTCCTGTATCCCAATCATCCCTCAGGATCACTCTGCTCCCAGAGCGTGGGACGAGGATCAGCTCAGCCCCCACGGAAAACACCCCAAAAGGGGCACTGCCACCATCCCAGACTGCTCCAAACCCCAGCCAAGCTTCCTCTGGACACTTCCACAGCTTCTCTGGGAATTCCATCCCAAATCCTCACAGGGATCCATTCCTTCCCAATATCCTCTGGCAGTACCCGGCCATTCCCGTTCCCATTCCCATTCCCATTCCCTGCCACAGCCTCTCCCTGGGTTCTCCCCACCCGTGAGAATCCCGGCCAGGCCAGGGGCTCCGATCCAGCTCCCGGAGGATCCCGGAGGAGCCCGGAGGATCCCGGAGGATCCCGGAGGAGCCAGGCCGCAGGAACAGAGCCTGCACACCCGGTGGCAGCAAAGAAACGCGCAGGAGAACGGGATGGGCCGGGAGATGGGCAGGATGGGGAATCCCGGGATACAGGATGGGCTGGGGATGGGCAGGATGGGGAATCCCGGGATACAGGATGGGCTGGGATGGGCAGGATGGAGAATCCTGGGATACAGGATGGGCTGGGATGGGCAGGATGGAGAATCCCGGGATCCTGCAGCACACAGCAAAGGCAGGACCCTCCCAGGAATTCTCCATGTCCCCTCTGCAGCTGACTGAATTTGCATTGGGATTTTCCTGCTCCAGATGCCACCTTTCATCTCCCATGATGAATGCCCTTGGAAATCCAGAGAAAGCACCAGCTGCCTCTGCCTCCTCAGCTTCCCCGGAGCAGCTGAGGGGGGAAAATCTCCTTTTGTTCCCGCACCTCCAGAGCCTCCCCTGCCTTTGTGAGGAGCCTTTTATTTCCAAAGGGCAGGGAAACACAGTGGGTAAAGCTGGAGGATCCTCATTTCCTCACCGGGATCTGCGGCAATCCAAGCGTCTGGGGCAGCCAGGGATGTGACAGGGAATTGGGAATGGAAGGTTTGGGATGGGTGCTTGTGGGACACAGCTTGTGCCTGGCCAGAGGAGGGGCTGGACAACCTGGAGAGGTCCAAAACCAGCCTGGATGGATCCTAAACCAGCCTGGAGGGATCCTAAACCAGTCCTGGGACCCCACAGATCCTTCAGCAGGAATCATGGAATGGTTTGGGTTGGGACCTCGAAGATCACCCCTGCCATAGGTTGATGGAGATGAGGAACTCATCCTTCCGCTATCCCAGGCTGCTCCAACCTGGCCTGGGACACCTCAGGGACCCAGGGGGATCCAGGGGGACCCAGGGGGACCCAGGGGGATCCAGGGGGACCCAGGGGGATCCAGGGGGATCCAGGGGCCTCCCCGCCCTCACAGGGAGGAATTTCTCCCTAAAATCCAACCTGATCCCGTTCTCCTTAGGAACAAAGTGTCTGGGCCATGGCAGCAGGTGCGAATTCCAAGGAAAAGCGAAGCGCACGGAGAGCCCGGGCAGGGAGGTGCGGTTTGCCCGGCGGCCACCGAGAGGTGCCAGCGGCTCTCCCAAAGCCTCGGCAGCTGCTCCAGCTCCGCTCCGGAGTTCTCCCTCGCTCCTGTTTCTCCAGCCCAGCTCCAGCTCTGGATGGGCTGGGATGGGCAGGATGGGGAATCCCGGGATACAGGATGGGCTGGGATGGGCAGGATGGGGAATCCCGGGATACAGGATGGGCTGGGATGGGCAGGATGGAGAATCCCGGGATACAGAATGGGCTGGGATGGGCAGGATGGGGAATCCCGGGATCCTGGATGGGCTGGGATGGGCGCTGTCCCCCGGGCTCTGCTGGGAGGAGCAGGAAACATCCCGAAATCCCAGGGTTTGGAGGAGCTGGGTGATCCCCCCGAGAGGCACAGAAGGGTTTTCCTAGGAGCACTGCCAGCAGCAGCAGGAGCAGGAATGCCAGGACTCAGGGACTCAGGGACTCAGGGATTCAGGGATTCAGGGATTCAGGGACTCAGGGATGCAGAGAGGAGTGAGATCCTTCCCTGCCACCAATTCCAGAACCCCGCGGCCCTGCCTGGCAGGAATGGGAGACAAAGGCACCAGATGCTCCCCAGCAGCTGCTCCCACATGTTGGGAACGCTGCTTTTAGGGAAAATCCCAGCATTTCCATGGATCCATGGGGAGCAGAGCCAGGGCTGCTCCCAGCTCAGGTGAGACAGGAGGAGGAGGAGATGAAGGAATCCTGCAGGGAGCCACGGAGACAGCGGGCAGGGCACTGGGAAGAGCAGGGTGGAGATTCCACCATTCCTGCTGCCAGCTCCAGGGAAAGGGACTCACCTGGCTGGGATTCCAGCCATCCCCAGCCCATTCCCACATCCCCACCTTCCAGCCTTGTCCCTTTTCCCCGCCCTCAGCAGAGCAGCCGAGCATCCTCAGGGATGTTTAACTGGGAGAGGGGAGCGGGATAAACTCCCCAAAATCCCCGTGGGCACCCCCTGAGAGGTGCAGCCCCCACGGGGACACTCAGCTGCCTCCTCCCCAGCTCCAGTGATCCCAGAGAGGGGAAAACACCAGGGAAACAACAGCAGGAACCTTTCCTCCCGTCTGGCGAGCGCAGAGTGAGGAAAACGCAGCAGCGCCGGGAATTTCTTCCGCTCCCTTTGCCACCCTTGTGCTTCCAGGGGAATTTCGCCGACCCACGGATCCCCAGCCCTCCTGGCACGGGACAAGGTGGGACAGCCAAGCTCCAAAGGCAAACACAAAAAGCAGGGTCGGGTCTTACCTGGCGCTTTGGAATGTGGCGGATGCGGATTTTCCAACGGCCCCGAACCCAACTCCCACCGCCAGGCCCTCTGAAACAGCAGGAAAAAGCAGTCAGGGGCAGCCCCAGCCCAGCCCAGGAGCATCCAGCTCCTCTGAATCCAGGAGAATCCAACCCAGCACTGCCCAAAGCGGCTGCTCCCGGGAAAGCCAGCACGGAGAGAAGGTTCTGGATTGAGGAGAGCCAAGAAGGGGGAAAAGATCCCAATCCCCACCAGCTGGAATGGGATTTTTCCAAGGAGTCAAGCACCAAAGCTGTTCCAAAACCTCAGCAAACCCCGGTGGATTCCTGAAGAATCCCAAATCCCAGCGTCTCCCGTGGATCCCCCAGGAGCTAAACCAGGATCAGGCTCCCATCACCGGCCCCTCCCCTCTTTGTGTGCCCCAAAACCGGCACAAAACCAGCACAGCCAGGCTCCAAAGCACCAGGAAACCCAAATTCCACCGGAAAATTCCTGCAGATTGCCTGGTACAGCAAATCCCATCATTTTAAATGCAGCTAACCCCATAAACCCCAAGAAAAACAGCTGAAAAGCCTTCCCAGGAAAAAAGAAAACCCTGATTTTCAGAAAGCATCAAACCCTCAATTTTCTTTCCCCCTCCCCCCTTTTTTTTAATTTAAAATTAAAATTTTTTTAAATTCCCCCTTTTTCTAAATTTTTAAAATTAATTTTAATATTTAAAATTAATTTTTAAATTTGAAAATCCTCATTTTTGGGTTGGTTTTGGGGGTTTGTTTGGTTTGTTTTTTTTTTTTGCAGCCTTCCAGCAAAGGTTGGGGGGAATGTTCAGAACCAAAACGGGAGGGATTTTACAGGTGAGCATTCCAACAGGTGGGAAAAGTCCCTGGAGCATTTCCAAGCATCCCAGAGGAGGAGCTCTCAGGAGCAGGGCACCGTGTGTGTGTGTGTTTGTGGCCCTGTGAGTTCCCAGTTGCCTTGGAAACAGCGGGAAAAACCGGGATAAATCACAACATTCCCATTCCCTGAGCCCAGAACTGGAACACTCAGAGCCTGGAGCCAAGGACAGGGGGAAAATCAGAGCAGAACCAGCCCTAAAACAGAGCTGGAGGGAAAAGAGCCCAAATGGGATCCGAAATCCTGACCTGGGGATCCAAAATCCTGACCTGGGATCCAAAATTTTTAGGGTTTTTAGATTTTCAGGGTGATTTTGAGTGGCTTGGGGTGATTTTTTGGGTGATTTTGGGGTTTTGGGGGGTGCCAAAGCTGATATTGGGGCGATTTCAGGTGATTTTTAGGCTGATTTGGGGGGTTTTGGGGGTGAATTTCTTTCTCTTCCCCTGCTGCAGAGCAGGAATCCCACAGTTCATGGGAGCAGAGCTCCCAAATCCTGGGAATGAGAGGCAGCAGATGGGGAGGAGGAGGAGGAGGAGGAGGAGGGGGAGGAGGAGTGGCCCCACATCCCAGGACAGGACACGGATCCCAAATCAGCCAGGTGTGGGTGGCCCAGGCACAGCAGGTACATCCCAGCACCTGGAAAACCTCCGATCCTATGGATCCTGGGATGGAGCAGGGATCAGGGGATGGAGCAGGGATCCTGGGATGGAGCAGGGATCAGGGGATGGAGCAGGGATCAGGGGATGGAGCAGGGATCCTGGGATGGAGCAGGGATCACAGGATGGAGCAGGGATCACGGGATGGAGCAGAAATTGTGGGATGGAGCAGCACAGAGCTCATCCCAAAAAACTCATCCCTGTGATTAAACAAAGCACCAACACTTCCCAAATCCCGCTCAGCGATGCCAGATCCCGCAGGATCCGCACATCCCACAGCACTGGGACCCCCGGGGCAGAGCTGGGAGCTCCGCTGTCCCCTCCCAGACGGATCCTGGAGCCGATTCTCCTGGCTCAGCACATGGAGAGGCTTCCTCCAGGAAGGTTCTCCAGCTGCCAAGGTCTCATCCATTATTCATCCCGCTCTTGGAAGAGCTGTTAAGTTCCTAGTGGGAAATTAATCTTGCCATAATGAGGTTTGGATTTCTCGGAGAGTTTAAGCACTGCCACTCAGAGATTTTTCCCTGCAGACTGAAGCCCAGCTCCCTCCAGGAATCACCGTTTTGCCATTATTGCTCAAGGATTAGCAGATTCCAGGGATTTTCCAGTTTGTAGGTCCCCACCACTTGAGGGTTTGTGGGCTTTCGGGTGGAATTTGGGAGGCAGGAGGAAATCCTGCTAATTCCAAATCCTGGTTTAACCCCGGCAGGAGCCGGCCCATCCTCATCCCACCCTTTGCTCTCTTCTCCTCCTCCCACAAAAGCAAATCCTCATTTCAATCCTCAGTTCAGCTCCACGGAGCTGCTGAACAGGAGCTGACAACTCAACCTCCACCTGATTTGAAAGAATTCCAGCTGGTTTGGAAGAATTAAATCAACTCCAACATCCCCAAACCCCTCCAGCCTGGAAACGCTTCTCTGGGAGCAGAAAACTCCTTCCCAAGTTACCAAAGCAGAACTGAGCTAAAAGCAGGGACTGACCCAGCTGGAACTGGGCTCTCCTGACCCCACAGCACCTGAATCCATCAGAGATATTTAAAGTTTCATTCCCAGCACGTAAACGCTTTCTCAGGCCACTGCTCAGTGAGGTTTAATGTGACAGAGCTGAGATCTGATGGGGACAAGGCAGGAAAGCAGCTCCCACATGAATATTTCAGTGGAATATTTCATTCCAGCTGGTGAAAATCCTGGATTTAATTGGCTTTTGTCACCTTTGTGGCTGTTGCTGCTGACAAAACACCGATGTGTTATCTGCTGGCTGCCTCCAAATGAGTTTGTGACAGATGAGCTGGTGGCAGGGGGACATCAGGGTCCCCTCCAGACAGTGTGAGCCTGGGAGGAGAACTTCCCACCCTGGAAAACATGGAATTGCCTCCAGCTGCCTGGGAGGAGCAGGGGGAGTCCTGAGGGAGCTGAGCCGGAGACAACAGAGCCAAAAACAGCCTGAGAGGAGCAGCCACAGCTGGGGTGTCACCTGAGCCCTGGGGATGTCACCTGAGCCCTGGGGATGTCACCTGTGTCCTTCCCCTGGGGATGTCACCTGTGTCCTTCACGGGAAAATGTCACCTGTGTCCTTCCCTGAGGGCATCACCCACTGCTAGAGATGTCACCTGAGCCCTGGGGATGTCACCTGAGCCCTGGGGATGTCACCTGAGCCCTGGGGATGTCACCTGTGTCCCTCACCCGCTGCCTCTCCCGCCCTTCCCAGCTCCCTGCAGCTTCTCCCAAGGACTCCAGTGGAGCTCAGGAGATGGGAATGTCCCAGCCCGTGCTGAGGAGGTGACAATTAAGGATTAATTAAGGAAAGGTCAAGGGCACCTTTCCCAGAGCAGCCAGGCTCGGGCTGATCCCGGTGAGGTGATCCCTGATCCCGGTGCTGCCGGAACGTTCCGGATGGAGCCGAGCTCCCGGCTCTGTCCCCATCCCCTCCCACCTCTCTCCTCTCCCTGGCTGCCCAGCACGTCCCAGCTCCGTGGCCAGCAGTCCCTGCTCATCCCTGCTCCCTCTGGAATTATCCCGGAGGTGCCTCGGGAGCCAACCCCAGCTGGGTTTTCTCTCCAGGGCAGAAATGCTGTGAAAAATTCCTGGCTGTCCCAAGGTGCACCTTCCCATCCCTCTGAGCGAGCCTCAGGGCCAGCACTCCGCTCCAATTCCCTGAAATTCCATGGAATTGCTGCCCCATGTGCTCCCCACCGCTCCAATTCCCTGAAATTCCATGGAATTGCTGCCCCATGTGCTCCCCACCGCTCCAATTCCCTGAAATTCCATGGAATTGCTGCCCCATGTGCTCCCCACCGCTCCAATTCCCTGAAATTCCATGGAATTGCTGCCCCATGTGCTCCCTGCGCCCACCAACCTTCCCGTACCTGCATCCTCCTTGGAATGCAATGCTGTGGGGAAGTCTTTTCCTCCTTTTCCTTCCTAAAAACAACCCCTCCCAGCAGGAATGGAGGGTGCTCCAAGTGCCCAGGAAGAGCCAGGAACAGGCAGGGCAGGGGGAATGTTGGAATTCCTGGAAGAGGCATCACCCAGACGAGGCACAGATTAATGGGTGCAGCTCCGGTCCTCACGCTCTGCTGAGCCCCAGTGGGTTCCCAAAGCCTCATTAAAACCAACAATTGGAAAACAGGCCTCCATTCCAACAGCCCCACGGAAAATAGAAACCCAAAAAGCCAGAATGTTCCCAGCCTTTTAATGGATCTGGGAGAATATTCATATAAATAATCAGCGCTGTTGATAATTGAGATGCAATCTGGCGCTCATTGCCCTTCCCCCGGGAGGCCGAGCGCACGGGAGCGCCTGTCCCGGGAGGATCAATCCAATCAATTTTTGCTAATGACAAAAGCAGCCAGCCTGGAAATCACCTCCCTTCCCAGGAACTCCAATCTGCCTGCACAGCACGGAACCTCTGCTGCCTGCACAGCCCCCAGCCCTTCCCGTCCTCAAATCCACCTCCATCCCAGGAGCAGCTCTCGGCACAAGGGGTGAGCTCTGCCCGACCCCCGTGGGGCTGCTCGGAGGGTTAAAAAGCTCAGGGCTGGTTTGAGGGTTAAAAAGCTCAGAATTTATCCAGAATTCCACCTGGCAACAGCATGGATCAACCACAGGGGCACCACTGCTGAGGGAGCTCACCTGGGGCTGTCAAACCCCAGAGATCAGGTCCAAAACCCTCCCTGGAGAGAGGGAGCTCACCTGGGGGTGCCAGGGTCAGATCCAAACCCTCCCTGGAGAGAGGGAGCTCACCTGGGAGTTCCAAACCCCACAGGTCACATCCAAACCCTCCCTGGGTGCTGAGGGAGCTCACCTGGGGGTGCCAAACCCCACAGGTCACATCCAAACCCTCCCTGGGTGCTGAGGGAGCTCACCTGGGGGTGTCAAACCCCACAGATCACATCCAAACCCTCCCTGGAGAGCTCCCTTCTCTGCCTCCAGCCCAAGCCCCCCGGTTTTGCTCCCGAGTTTCCGCCTCTTTGAGCAGGGGGCTCTGGGAAGGGGTAAAGGGACGTGGCAGAGCCCCCCAAACCTCCCAGAGCTCCACCCGAGGCTTCCTCTCCAGCTCCCAGTGCCAGAAAGCCATTAACGAGCTGGGATTGATTAATTTTTAATGAGCAGGAGCCAGGGGAGGAGCAGGGCAGAGCGTGTGAGCCGGATTGGGAACAAACCCCAGGCGGGGAGGTGGCACCGTGGGCAGGAGGGACAAAAGGTGAGAAGGAGACACCCTGAGGTGGTGCCAGCTGTGGGAAGGGTGGCTGAGACCGCTCCGGGCTCGGGGGAACGATCCTGCTCGCCCAGGTGACACCAGACAAGTCCTGTCCCCTTGGGATTGCGCTTGGAGGTGGCAGCGAGAGGAGGTGCCCTGGCTTGGCGCTGCCCTGGTGGCATTTTGGGGACCCAGGAGGGGGAGATTCACCCCAAAAAGCTGCGGGGTGGGCTGTGAGCGGTGCCTGGAACGGGGATCACTGGGGCTGGTGTGGAGGAGAGGGGACAGGATTCCTGCTGCAGGTTTCCCCCTGCAGGGAAAGGGATGATCCCGGGATAGGCTCGGTCTGGCACAGCACAAAGGGGGAAAAAAACGGGAATTTCAGGTTTCCTTGGCAACGTTCTGGGGGTTGGAAGCGTCGGAGCAGCCCCGCTGCCTCTCCTGGAGGATGATCCAGGGATGGGGCAGGGCCCGGCTGTCCTGAGCCGATTCTGAGGATGGGGAACACGCATTTCCCGAGAGCCAGGGAATTGTCAGGAATTTCCCAAGGCAGGGAATTGTCAGCACCAACACCTGCAGCTCCTCCCTGCCCCACCTGGACACCCACGGGGAGGGACTCGGTCCTTGCTGAGCCACCAAAAACCCCACAAGATCCCTGAGATTCCTCTGAGGGCAGCTGGGGGATTTGGGAAAGGGGCTGGAACATCAGGAGAGGATCAGGGATTTGGGAAGGGGCTGGAGCACCAGGACAGGATCAGGGATTTGTGGAAGGGGGCTCAGCCTGGAGAAAAGGAGGCTCAGGGGGAACTTCTGGCTCTGCACAACTCCCTGCCAGGACCTGCTCTGGGAACAGGGACAGGAGGAGAGGGAACAGCCCCAGGCTGGGCCAGGGGAGCTCAGGGTGGAAGAATTCCCTTGGGAAGGGCGGTCAGGCCTTGGAATGGGCTGGGGGAGGCACTCAGGGCACTCAGGGCTTCGGGCACAGCTCGGATCCATCCCCGGAGCCTTTTCCAGCCTCAATGTCTCTGGAATTCTGAGGCTCCAGGGAGAGCCCCAGGGCAGTGAAGATGAGCAGAACGGGCCCTGGGCCTCTCCCGGAGCATGAGGGGCTCCTGCAGCACCTCCCCGCTGGGGGAACCCCAAAATCCGGCAGCAGAGCGGAGCATCCCAGGAGCATCCCAGGATCCGGGGCCCCAGCCTGCCCTCCCCTCCCAGGGCAGCACAGAGGGAAGGGCTGAGCAGCTCACACCTCGCTAATTGTTATTTGTGATACACCAGTAACATTTTAATTAATCTGAAGCCTTCAGCATAACAGCCACCCAAGGTACAAAGCTAAACCAGAATAAACAGGGCTTGATTAAATACATAATTAATGTTCTGCTAAAGCCGGCATAGATGAATATTAATTAGCAGGAAGAGTCTGCAGTTTGGCATCTCCTGTCATTATCAATTTATCCTTTCCATTGGCATTCCCAGCTTTGGAACAAATTATCCAACCTTTCCTCCACCAACAGGGAGAGGCTGTGGGAGGCTGGGCTGGGGGTTCTGCTCTCTCCCCTCCACGAGAAGCTGCTCCCAGCCTGGAAACAGAGCCAGAGGCACTGCCAGGAGCAGCCAGCTCAGCCCTAAAGGACGCTCAAGGTCCTCCAACGATTCCCTGTTGGCAGCAAAAGGGGAGCTCATCCCCCAGCAGCACGGGAGGAGAGCGGGGATGGAGCTTGGGCTGCCAGCCAGGGGAAACTGAGGCAGGGTTTGGGCTGGCAGTGAGGGCTCAGAGCCCCAGGGAGGTGAGTGTGGATCCCCCTCCCGCAGTGTCCCAGCCCCTCCCAGGGCTGTGGAGCCGTGTGAGCAGCTCTGGGGGCACGGGAAGGACGGAAAAGCCTTGGGAATGAGCTGGGCACCTCCGTGGGAGTGCCGAGGAATACCGGGGGAGGAGAGGGAGCTGCCAGAGGAAGCTGGAAGGAGAACAGCAGGCTCTGGAGAGAGCCCGTGGAGCCTTCGCAGTACTTTTGAAGCACAAAAGCCAACCATCCTTAGAAGAGCCGGTAAAATAAAGACGGAGAGTGGCTTTTCACACAGGTGACAGGACAGGGGGGATGGCTTGAAAGGGAAAGAGGGAAGATTCCCATGGAATGTTGGGAATCAATGCGAGGCTGAATGGATTTCCCAGAGCAGCTGCTCCATCCCTGGAAGTGTCCAAGGCCAGCTTGGAGCACCCAGGGCCAGTGGGAGGTGGCACTGCAGGAGCTTTGGGGTCCTTTCCCACCCAAACCATTCCACGGCTCCCTGAGGAGCATTCCATGATTTTCCCAGGGCTTGGATCATCCCCAGCACCTCCTGCCCTGCCCAGCACGAGGAGTGCTCACCCTGCAGGAGCCCGTGGTAATTTAAATGAAATTAAACTTAATTAAAGCCCGTGCCAGCCTCTCCTCTGGCAGGGCTGCTAATTGAGGCAGAGATTCCCGTGTTTCCAAACCCTGGGAAAGCAGAAGGAATTCAGAGCCCCGGATTGCTGCTCACCTGATTTCATCACAGCCTGAATTATTTATCCCCAGCCCGAATTCTTCCTCAGGGCACAGAGCCCCTGGCAAGGGGTGACTTTGGACAAATCCCCAGGGCAAGGAGGCAGGGCAGGGCTCTGTCACTGCTGAGAGGCCCCAGGGTCACTGAAAAGCCTCTGGGAAGGAGCAGGAGGGGGATTGGGGATCAAAACTCAGCAGGGACAGGGCCAGCACCGAGCCCCAGCCTCACACCTCTCCGGGGATGAAGCTTTAATCCCACATTTAAGATATTTAAATAAGATATTAATCCCAGATTTAAGATATCCCAGGTTTATTTAAGATAAAATTCTTGAATTCTCCCAGCAGGGGAGAATTTTCAGCATCCAGAGGTGGCTTTGTGCTCCTGAGGAGCAGGGACAGGGCAGCACCAACCTCCTGCCACGGGTGACACCTGGGCCACTCCTCTGCAGAACCTTCCCCTTCTGCTGCTGCCAGGTGGGAATCAGGGAGGTGCCACCTTCTCTGAGGGATGAAATCCAGTTACACTTCACTCACTGCAGACATTTCATATTTCATTATTTTATTTTATTTTATTTTATTTTTTTATTTTATATCTTTATTTTATTTTATATTTTTATTTTAGTTTATATTTTTATTTTATTTTATATCTTTATTTTATTTTATATCTTTATTTTATTTTATATTTTTATTTTAGTTTATATTTTTATTTTATTTTATATCTTTAATTTATTTTATATTTTATATTTTATATCTTTATTTTATTTTATGTTTATTTTATTTTATTTTATTTATTTTATTTTATTTTACATTTTTATTTTATTTTATATTTTTATTTTATGTTTATTTTATTTTATTTTATTTTTTATTTTATTTTTATATTATTTTATATGTCTTTATTTTATATTATATTTTTATTTTTATTTTATTATTTTATTTTATATTTTATTTTATTTTATTTTTATATTATTTTATATATCTTTATTTTATATTTTTATTTTTATTTTTATTTTATTATTTTATATTTTATTTTATTTTATTTTATTTTATTTTATTTTATTTTATATGTTTGTTTTATTTTATTTTATTGTCTGTGGCTCATTTAAATCTCCTTCCTGGCCCTTCCTGCCAGGCACCTTCCTCTCCCAGCAACACCTGGAGCTGAACTACAGCACCCAACTTATCCCCCTGGGATTAATTAAAAAAAGAGGGATGAGGAGGGAGAAATGTTTTGCTGCTGCTGACAGCCTGGAGCAGGTTAATGCCCAGCTCGTGCTGCTGATGCAACGAGAGCAGCAAATCATTAACTCCCAGCTCCTTATCAGCATAACCCAAGCCCAGGAGCACCCAGGGGTGCCCAGCAGCAGCTGGAAGGAGACAATTCCCAGCCCAGGAGCACCCAGGGGTGCCCAGCAGCAGCTGGAAGGAGACAATTCCCAGCCCAGGAGCAGCCAGGGGTGCCCAGCAGCTGCTGGAAGGAGACAATTCCCAGCCCAGGAGCAGCAGGAAGCTGGAGGAGCCGGAGGAGGGAAAGGCCAGGAGCTCTGTGTGTGTCCCCTCGGGTTTTGTGGCTCCCAGGGAAAGGCAGGAGCTGGGATTCCACATCCACAACGGAGCCTTCCCCTGGCAATTCCCCTGCTGGAACTGGGGATGGATGTCCTGATTTACAGATCCACCCAGCCAGGCACAGAGCAAAGAAGGGAGAAAGGAAAGGCAAGGAGAGGAGGAGGAGGGAAGAAACCAGGAAAAAAAAACCTGGAAAAGCTGCCTTATTTTACTTTAACCATCCCCAAGAACTGCGGAGCAGCCAAACATCCTGAGCTGTCCCAAACTGATCTCACCATCCTCTGTTCTCCACACAGCCCGGCCTGGCAGGACCCAGCCCTCCAGAACCTGCAGCTCTGTGATTTTCCACCCCTTGTCCAAACCCACGCCCGGGCCGAGGAAACAAACCCCAGTGCACATTCCCCTGCAGAGACCCAGCGCCCTGAAACCCATCCCTGCCCGCTCACAGACACGGAGAGGCCAAGAGGGAGCGGGATTTGTCACCTTTCCCCATACACCCCGGGGAATTGCGATTGCACCCAGGCCGGGCTGGCAGGAGCGGGGCTGCAGCTGCTGCAGGCTCCCCCCGAGCCCCCTCCCCAGCGGGGTTCTGCTGCCAAAGCCTCCCGTGGCTCAGCCCCACGGGATCTGCAATGGGATCCTGGCCAAAGGCGCCCACTCTGCGAGCGCCATCTGCGCTGGAGAGCTGGGCTGGGAGCCGGGAGCCTGGCCGTGGACTCACCGGGGATGTTGTGGATGGTGATAGCCAGGATCATCAGCGTGATCCTCCTCCAGCTGCTGCTCCCGGCCAGGGCGGCTCCGTCCCGGGGAGCCGGGAATGCCGGGGGGTCCTCGGCAAGGGGGGACCCCACTCCCCTCCTCCGCTGGTACGGCTCCCCGTTCTCAGCCTTGTCTGGGGACAGAAAACACCGGGGTGAGGAAAAGTGGGGACAGAAAATATTGGGGTGAGGAAAAGTGGGACAGAAAACACCGGGGTGAGGAAAAGTGGGATAGAAAACATCGGGGTGAGGAAAAGTGGGACAGAAAATATTGGGGTGAGCCATGGTGGGGATAGAAAACATCGGGACAGAAAATACTGGGTGAGGAAAAGTGGGATAGAAAATATTGGGGTGAGGAAAAGTGGGGACAGAAAATATTGGGGGGAGGAAAAGTGGGGACAGAAAATATTGGGGTGAGGAAAAGTGGGACAGAAAATATTGGGATGAGCCATGGTGGGATAGAAAACATCGGGACAGCAAATACTGGGTGAGGAAAAGTGGGATAGAAAACATCGGGGTGAGCCATGGTGGGACAGAAAACATCGGGGTGAGGAAAAGTGGGACAGAAAATATTGGGATGAGCCATGGTGGAATAGAAAACATTGGGATGAGGAAAAGTGGGGAGAGGAAACTCTGGTGTGAGCCAAGGAAGGCACAGCTGGGCAGCTCCTGCCTCCCTTCCCAGAAGGAACAAGCAAAGGAAAGGAACCAAACCGAGCAGAGCAAGGGGTCCCCCGCACTGCAGAGCCCAGGGAGACCCCCAGGCTCTGCCTGCTCCTCCTCCACGGACCTTCCCCTGCCCCAGAGTGCTCCAAGCTGGCCTTGGACGCTTCCAGGGATCCAGGGGCAGCCACAGCTTCTCTGGGAATTCTTTTCCAGGGCGTCCCAGCCAGGAATTCCTTCCCAATATCCCATCTAATCCTCCTCTCTTTCAGTTTGAGGCCAATCAACAAGACCAAAACCAACCCCGGCTCTGTCACTGCCACCTCCTCAGGTGCTCAGGTCCAGCTCATTTCCATCAGATACCTCTTTAACTGTTCTTTTATATAATATATCTTAATTTTAATTAGTCTGCTTGGTCCTGTTGGGGGGGGAAATGATGAAAAATCCCCTTTTCCGAGGAGACCCCAAGCCCCTCCAAGGCCAGGGGTGACAAAGGCTGGGGGGGGATGCCACGGGGGCGAGGAAAACAGGGAAAAGCTGTGGAAATGAAAAGGAATTGGTGTGGTTTTCCCAGGGAAAGTGCAGAGGAGGGGGTTGGAGGGACAGTTTGAACAGAAAATCGCCTCTCCTGTAAACGATCCCTGGATTAGCCGGGGATAAAGGCAGCAACACCAAAAGCAGGGAGACAATCCCGGCATCGCTTTCAGAGGAGTGTCACACAGAGCCTGCTCAAGGGACGGGCTCTGCTTCCCAGTCCTGCTGGAAAAGAGGATAAAAAGGAAAGGATAATTACAGAGCAGCGATGGCACCACTGCCAGCTCGGGAGGGAGCGGGACAGGAGCATTCCCAGCTGGAAACGCCGGGCTGGGGGAACAAAACAGTCATTAGGGATAAGCACGGGCTTGGCTGGGAATCAGGAAAGCCTCAATGGCAAATTGGAGTGGAGATAAGAGCAGAACAAGGGCTGGGCTGTAAAGAAGAGCTGACACCACAGACAGGCTGCTCCCAGAGCCTGCCAAGACAATTAGGTGGCAAATAACTCCCCGTGCCACAGACATTATTTTAAATCTTGTTCACAAAAAGTCCTTTAGATATTCCACTCGATTTATCATTATTGAATTTCTTAGCAAAGCTGCGGGGCAAAGATTCTGCCAAAAGTTTAATTACATACATGCAGCCTGCTGCATTTTTCATATCCTCTGCAGCCAGAGCTGGAGAAAAGATAAATGGCTTTGAGCGTGGCTTAAACTGCTGCTGAAGTGAAAAAACCGACTGGCTCCTTATCAGCATGTGAAATGGCTTTTTATTTTTGATTATTTCTTAATGAAAACTGTTTGCATTAGCCGTGAGCTCAGCTTTGGTGCTCAAACAGACCGAGGCTCTGTTGACTCCAAACCCTGCTCCTGCCCTCCCTCAGCTCCCAAATCCAAACCCATGGAGCTCTCCAGTTTTCCACACCCGCTCCAGAGCCCTTCTCCTCCTCCTCCTCCTCCCCACTTAGGCCTGGCTTTAACCTCTCCTAAGCCCTGGAGTTCAGAGTGCTCTGAGCTGTGGGGATGGCTTTGGAGCCCAGGCAGCCCCTCTGAGCGGGTTTAGGAGCTGTTTTAGTCCTGGCTTAGCTGCAGAACCCCTGCAGACAGCCCGGGGGACAGGAGGGGCTGGTCCCCTCTGGCACAGGCTCCTTCTCCAAGGAGGAAGAGGCAGCCCAACATCTCCTCTCCCCACGCCGGCACAAACCCACCGAGGCCAACCTGGAGCTGGAGATGCTGCAAGGAAAACCATCCCCAGCTCCAAACCCCTCCTCTCCACCTTTCCCCCATCCAATCCTTCCAACAAGGAAAAGCTCTGGAGAGACCTCCAGGCCTGGGGAATCTGGGAATTCTTCCTTCAGCCGAACTTCCAAGGGCTGAGCTGCTTCCCCTGGTCAGATCTGTCAGCTCCCATCTCTGAGGTGTGGGAGAAGGGGAGGAGAAGCAGCTCCAAGCTTATTAAAATCCCTAATTAGCTGCTGCTCGCTGGCTGTTTGTGGGAATTATTTGCCGTTGATGAATATGGGAAAGGCAGGAAAGCCTCAGATGTTTCTTCTGTTGTGTAATTCTGATTCCGCCGGAGCGGCTGCTCCAAGCTCGGCCAACACCTGGAGGGAGCAGCAGAGCAGCAAAAAAGCTGCTCCAAATTCCTCTCCCAGCCTCACAGCACCCCCTCAGCCTCCTCATTCCCTGCAGCTGGAATTCTGCCTTAGTGCTGCCCCAGGAAAAGCAGGAGACTTGAACAGCTTGGGATTCCAGCCGTGTCTTCCCTCAGCTTTCCCTTTTTAAGGGCTTTTTCTAAGGATTCCAGCCATGTTTTCCCTCAGCTTTCCCTTTTTAAAGGCTTTTTCCAAGGATTCCCCCCATGTCTTCCCTCAGCTTTCCCTGGTTTAAAGGCTTTTTCCAACAATTACCCCATGTCTTTCCTCAGCTTTCCCTTTTTAAGGGCTTTTTGTAAGGATTCCCCCATGTCTTCCCTCAGTTTTCCCTTTTTAAAGGCTTTTCCCAACATTTCCAGCCATGTCTTCCCTCAGCTTTTCCTGGTTTAAAGGTTTATCCAACGATTCCAGCCATGTCTTCCCTCAGTTTTCCCTTTTTATCCAATGATTCCAGACATGTCCCTCAGCTTTGCCTGTTTTAAAGGCTTTTCCCAACGTTTCCAGCCATGTCTTCCCTCAGCTTTCCCTGATTTAAAGGCTTTTTCCAACAATTCCCTCATGTCTTCCCTCAGCTTTTCCTGGTTTAAAGGCTTTTCCCAACGTTTCCAGCCATGTCTTCCCTCAGTTTTCCCTTTTTAAGGGCTTTTTCCAAGGATTCCCCCATGTCTTCCCTCAGCTTTCCCTTTTTAAAGGCTTTTTCCAAGGATTCCCCCCATGTCTTCCCTCAGCTTTCCCTGGTTTAAAGGCTTTTTCCAACAATTACCCCATGTCTTTCCTCAGCTTTCCCTTTTTAAGGGCTTTTTGTAAGGATTCCCCCATGTCTTCCCTCAGTTTTCCCTTTTTAAAGGCTTTTCCCAACATTTCCAGCCATGTCTTCCCTCAGCTTTGCCTGTTTTAAAGGCTTTTCCCAACGTTTCCAGCCATGTCTTCCCTCAGCTTTCCCTGATTTAAAGGCTTTTTCCAAGGATACCTCTGTATCTTCCCTCAGCTTTCCCTGATTTAAAGGCTTTTTCCAAGGATTCCCCCCATGTCTTCCCTCAGCTTTCCCTTTTCAAGGGCCTTTTCCAAGGATTCCCCCCATGTCTTCCCTCAGCTTTCCCTTTTCAAGGGCCTTTTCCAAGGATTCCCCCCATGTCTTCCCTCAGCTTTCCCTTTTCAAGGGCCTTTTCCAAGGATTCCCCCCATGTCTTCCCTCAGCTTTCCCTTTTCAAGGGCCTTTTCCAAGGATTCCCCCCATGTCTTCCCTCAGTTTTCCCTGTTTTTCAAGGTTTTTCCCAAGGAATTCTGTCCTCTCTCGGGGCTGAATCCAGCAGTGCCCCTCAGCATCCAAAGCCATTCCCCGCTGGCATCTCCCCCTCCAAACCTCCCCACATCCCCTCCCTCATCCCATTCCCAGTGCAGGAGGAATTCCAGGGAGCACAGAAGGTTCTGGATGCCGGGGAGCAGATGGGGCGTCAGGGAGCATCTGCTGCCACGCAGGGAACGCTGCTCTTATCTCCCACCTCCAGAAGAGGTTTTAATTAGTGCCGCTAATTAAGCGCAGCACGTCTTGGGGGGACGGCTGCCAGCCCCTCGCAGACAGGTACAGGGAAAGCTGCATCCCACGGGCTCCCAGCCAGGAGAAATCCCGGGATCCACACCTCTGGCAGCTCTGAGGGCACGGATCCCAGCCCAGCTGGCAAGAAGGAATTTTCCAGCCAGGGAAATGCTGGGAATGAGCCCCCGAAGCTGGGCAAAGCCAATTCTTGGGAAGTTTACGCTCAGGCAACAAAAATGCTGGAAAAGAGGCTCCGTGGAGCTGCCCAACTATGGTCAAAATAAGGGTTTCTTTTTAAAAATAGCTTTTATTTATTGCTAGGAAGGCTCAGGGTGCTTGAGCAGAGAGCACAGGCTTCCCATGCTCCAGAGCCTTGGGATTCGGTGGGAATGGGCCAGGAGCCCCCCGTGCAGGGTGTGTGACTGCAGCCCCATCCTGCCGGCCCCCACACGGAACAAACCCATTTCCCAGCGTTTTTGGCAGATCCAAGAGGTGCCTGCCCGTGCTGAGGCCTTCAGAGGAACAGAAACAGAGAGTTGGGGTTTGTTAGGAGCCTTCATCCACCCCGGGGTGCACAGGAGCCCTTGGAAAAGGCTCAGCTCCCATGGGTTATTCCTGGGATCTGGCTGGATCTGGCTGGATCTGCCTCCCCTTGTTCCCATGGGTTATTCCTGGGATCTGGCTGGATCCAGAGGGGTGCTGGGGCTGTGCCTGCATCACATCAGCTCCCAAACTGGGGTCCCAGT